TTTTTTTTTTAAATGTCCAATCGCACGTACAGTTGCTGGTGCTGCTCAGGTGTACGTACACCTGAACGCCCCCATTTTGCATGCAAGGAAGCAAATTTATTTTTCAATATTTTGTATATATAAATATATATTACATTGAGAAATCCTTGCATGTGCATGCACATTTAAACAACTAATTTTTTTATTTCTTAATATTTGTTTCCTCCCCAAAGAGGGCCCTAAGGGGGCCCCCAGGGGGGCCCCCTTGGGGGCCCTCCTGGGGCCCCCCTTGGGGGCCCCCCATGGGGGACCCCAGTGGGCCCCCATGGGGGGCCCCTAGGGGTCCCCCTAGGGGGGCCCCTGGATCCCAAAAGATGGTTTCAATAGAATCCTTTGGGGGCCCTTAAGAGGCCCTTGTAGGGGCCCCTCTGGAAAACCCTAGAGAGGTACTATGCTGCTGTGGCTTCTGCAGCAGCAGCAGCAGCAGCAGCAAAAGGCCAGAATGCAGCTGTGTAGAGGCAGCAGCACTGCGAAGGGTCACAGCGGCCCCCAAAAGGGTCCCCAAGAGTTTCTTGGGGGCCCCCTGGGGCTGGGGCCCCCAGGGGCTCTCGGTGAGCATTTGAGGGGGCCCTGGGGGCCCCTGCGCAGCAGCAAAGGCTCAGGCAGCAGATGTTGCGCCTCTGCTGCCGCTGCTGCTGCGCGTTTGCTGCTGTTTCGCTTCCTGTTTGCATTTTGCTTCCTCACAGGCAACAGCTAGCTGCTGCTGCTGCTGGGGGGTGGCTAGGTGTTATCCTCTGAAAGACACAACGCCTTTCTACCAGCTTTGATTTGCATAATTTTATATTTAAAAGCGGAAAGAATAATTAAAAATAGCTGCTGGGGGCCCTCGGGGGGCCCCCCAGGGAGCTTGTTGCTGCTGCAGCACTGCGTGCACAGCTGCTGCTGCTGCTGGGGGCCCCCCTGGTGGCCTAAAAGCTCCTTTTTCCCCTTTTCCAGTTTTTTTATAAATTAATTAATTAATTACTGAAAAATAAATGCTTTAGGAGCTTGAAAGATGCTGAACTGCAGCAGCTGCGCTCTCGCCGTGCCGTGGGGCCCCTTAGAGGCCCCGAGGGGCCTCCCGAGGGGCCCCCAAGGGGCCCCTGGAGCTAAAAAACAAAATAAAAAAGTAAAGTTAGGCAGCATTTTAAGTTTCAGTTTTGTTGATTTCGAAGCTGCTGCTACTGCAGCAGCTGCTGCTGCAGCAGTAGCAGCAACAGCAGCAGCA